CAGAATGTTTATTGCAGCCCAATTCATAATTGCTAAGTCATGGAAGAAGCCCAAGTGCCCATTGACCCATGAATGGATTAATAAATTGTGGTATATGTACACCATGGAATATTATGCAGCCTCAAAGAAAGATGGTGACTTTACCTCTCTCATGTTAACATGGATGGAGCTGGAACATATTCTTCTTAGCAAGGTATCTCAAGAATGGAATAAAAAGTATCCAATGTATGCAGCCCTACTATGAAACCAATTTATAGCTTTCATATGAAAGCTATAACCCAATTATAGCCCAAGAAGAAAGGGAAAGGGGAGAGGAAGGGGAGGGGAGGGGGGAGGATGGGTGGAGAGATTATAATCAGTGGGACCACACCTACAGTACATCTTACAAGGGTACATGTGAAATTTACTAAGGGTAGAATATAAACGTCTTAATACAATAACTAAGAAAATATAGTGAAGGCTATGTTAACCAGTCTGATGAGAATATTTCAAATTATGTATAAAACCAGCACATTGTACCCCATTATTGCATTAATGTATACAGTATGCTTTCATAATAATAATAAAAAAGACAATGAAATCCTGCCATTTGCAGGGATGTGGATGGAACTAGAGATCATTATGTTCAGGGAAATAAGTCAGGCACAGAAAGACAAATATCACATGTTGTCACTCACATGTGGGAGCTAAAAAGGTAGATCTCATAAGGTAGAGAGCAGACTGGAGGTTGTCAGAGACTGCAGAGGTTGGGGGGGGGTGAAGAGAGGTTGATGAATAGGTACAAATATACTGTTAGAGAAAAGGAATAAAATCTACTGTTTGATAGATTAGTAGGGTGACTACAGTTTTCAACAATCCATTGGATATTTCAGAATAGACAGAAGAGAATAATTCCAATGTTTCAAGCATAAAGAAAAGGCCACTATTTAAGATGATCAATGTCATGATTGTAATAAGTTATCAAATGTACCCTGAAAATATATACACCTACTGTGTATTAATTTAAAAAAAATAGAAAACATGCAGACATATAGAGGAGATTTGACACCCAGGTGAAAAGGAAGCCATGTGATCTCCGAAGCAAAGACTGGAGAGGTGGGACACAGTGGCCAGCAGCCACCTGGGCTGGGACAGGTGGATTCATACAGGAGGCAGGAGTGTCCAGGGAGGAACTGAGGCTGAAGGAAGGGAGAGAGGGAGGCTGAGGTGGAGGGAGAACACTGCAGAGGGTCCAAATGCCCTATAGGAGGTGAGGGAGCCACCAGGTTGGAAGGGTCCCTGTGGGGTGGGATCAGAGAGGAACAGGCCAGGAGGCCTGAGGAAACTGAGGCCAGACTGTGCTGGCTTTGCAGGCTGACAGGTGCTTCCCTCCCAGGGCTTGGGGGCTGCCAGGACCCAGGGCCCAGTGCACAGCTCCCTAGCTAGGGCTGCAGGAGGTGGCTATTGAGGGGGGGAAGGAGGACCCAAATGGACTCTGATGGGCTTATGGGCTGGCGAGGGCCAGGGCTAATTGGCAGCATGGGCAACTGTGCCAACAGGGCAGGTAATTGGACCCCAGGGCCCTGCTCTCCAGCAGGAAAAGCTCTTCCTCCCTGGGCTTTGGGGGCCACTCCTCAAGAGTGGTTCGAGGCTCTTCTGGTGACTGTGGCCAGCCTGGGAGTTGCTGGATGCAGGGAGAAGCTGCTCCAGACTCTTGGGCAGATGCAGCTGTCAGTTCCTGGTGAGGCATCCAGACCCTCAGGTAGGACCCAGCACATTCCCTACCTGATAACCGCTCATTTTACTGAGGCTTTAGGGTACACTGTACCCCTTGCACCATGACAGGGCCACGTGTGTGTACATGTGATCAGCACCTGCACTGTATGTGTCCCCCACACCCAGCCTGGGGCAGGGACTACCCTCTAGTCTGAACAGCAGCACCCAGCACAATGGCTGGGGTGCTCCATAAGTGGCCCTCATATCTTTGAGTACTGTTCTGAGTATGTGTCTG